AAGACAAATTATAATATTGGAATTCAATTTTAATATAATATAAATTATATTAAATTTATGCGTCTACAAATGCCCCCTCGAGACTAGTTGGACAATGCCTTTTGGAGTGAATGAGTCTCGATAATTGCTCCACTTCAATCGCAGCTTGATCTCGCAAAGCACATAGATCGTTTGAAATTATGACTGAACTTAGAGAAATCCTAAGTTGCCTATGTTGGGATGTGAAGCCTAGGAGTTAATGAAAATTCACAAGCAGTTATAGATTAGCCAGTTTTAATTTTATTTACATGCTTTAATTATATTCGTTTAAAGCGGAATAAATCTAATCTAGCAACTTACAGTTTTTTGCGAGCAGATTCGTTTCTATCTTCGGAGCACGAACGAGGATCCACGTCAAGCCTTCTATCCTCGAAAAATTGTTGTCCAGAAATTTTCAGCTCTCTTCTTTCACCGATATCTCCGAGATGGTTAATCTGATGTAGAAACCCTTCCGGCAGATTATAGTACTATGGGTTAGCAAGCTATTGTATACATTTCAAGCTTATTCGATGAATGGTTGATTTATGGCGAATTTCTTTGCAACACTGCTCATAAATTTCGGGAATAATAGTTTGCTCTAAAAACCTATAATCTTCTATTGTATATCCCAGATTAATAATTCTTCTACAAGGATGGACTTGTACTTGAAGAAATCTAAACCTATAATGCAAAACTTCGATGATCTGAGAGACAGAAGACATGAGAGGTAGAGATGTCCCACTGGGCATGCCAAAATTTGTAGCAACAAAATCTTATCTGCGATTTAAACAAACAAGAAAGAATTGCACAAATATAATTTTATTGAATTAAAAATAAATATTGCCGGTTACAAACTCTAATTTAATCCTCTCATTCTTCTCTCAAGAAAAATATATGTTTGACTTTGGATATTGGAGACGGAAAAACATGGGGGTGAGTTTATTTGCGAGACTGCTTTTTGTGTGGACCTATGTGTATTTACGTCCCTTGTCATGAACTTATTTGCCACATGTCCTAGTATTATTTGTTATTTTTTAAGTATAAAAGATAAATATCAATTTAAAAAGGGTCAATCAAATCGCGACACATCATCAAGAAGGTTCTGAAGGACTCTTGTTCTACTAATATAACTAGAGACCCTCCATACTCAATTAAAAACACAATTGAAGAAGAAGAATAAACCGTATGAAGATTTTATCTCTACAACAGCCTCTCCAAGCTTCCCCTCTATAGCCTCTCCAGACTTCTTCTCTCCAGCCTTGTCTTTATCATCTCCGGGTTTTTCTCCAGCTTCTCTTTATCGTCTACATGATTCTTAAAATATTCCACCCATTCATCACCCTCAGCTTTCAAACGTTCGAAACCTTCTTGAACTTCTGCCAATTTTTCAACTGCTTTCCTCTGAACCTCCAAACCAAAAACTCTTTTCTCGACCTGCTTATAGGTTTTAAAAGAGATCGTACTCTTCCAGAACATTTGGATGTTCTTCATGCCGATAGTGACACACGATAGACTGATGCCTCCTATGATATGCCAGAACTACACTCTCATTTCCAATATCTTTTTCTCCAGTGAGATCACCTTCTCATGAATGACCACCAATTCTGGTTTGGTCGCTGCAGCTGGAAGAGGATCAGGCACAGTCAAGAGACTAGCTCAAATCCGGCGGGCGGCAGGGGGTGGATACCGGAGAGCAGCCTTGGAGTAGAGTGCCTCATACAAAATACTTTTCAACATTTCGATAAGAAATGTTGTTTTTGATAATTCTTAAGATAAAATTAAATGTAAATATAAAAATTCAAGTTCACTAGTTTCATTATTATATTTAATTTAATATATAAATCTCATAATACGTTTATATGGATGTCGTATTCTATTTATGATCATGATTTCGGATTTCTAGGGCAGGATTCTATGATCTATTGCGAAAGTATCTCGACAGCGATGGTCTCTTTAATATGCTACCCAGTTGTAGAGATGAATCGGCTAGAGAGGGTGGTATGATAGTTTGGTATCATACAATCCATACCTGCAGATCCTAAAAACCGCGAAATACACTTTTAGGGGCATGCCTCTAGACAACGTAAAGGTACCACCAGCCGAATCTGGAGATCAACACATGCTTCTTATATCATTGCAAGGGAGCAGAGACCGAACTATAGTGTTCGTTATCCGTCTGCAAATAATGGATCTACTATTGAGCCTGGATATAATGAGTGGTGTGACTTGTACACTCGTTAGTTCATATCATTGATTACCCGAGTACATCTTTTTCAGGTTGGAGGACATATTTCTATAAATACAGTGGTATGCATTTAAATTTAGTTAGTGTATTTTCTTTTTTTTTCGTGTCAAAAAGAATATATATTATACAAATTATAATATTTCGGTTAATCTCAAAGCAGTAGCTTCGATCGTTAATCATTTCTATCGAGGACGAATCCATTCATATTGGGCCGAACTCTTCATATTGGGTAATATATATATATATATATATATATATATATATATATATATATATATATGAATGTGTGTATGTGCATGGTGTCTCTATGTGTTATATTATGTGGATGTATGCATGGTCATATGCTATGATATATTATATGTGTAGAGATTTATTTTATGTGACAAATATATATGTGTGTACCTATGCTTGAAGTACTTAAAAGAGACACACAAACCCTCACATGCTCTCTTTTCTTCTCTGCCAACACACCCCTTATAAGCCTTACTTATTAAAGAAGTACTTAAAAGAG